AGCCCCTGTCTCACCTCTTCCCCCAGGAACAGAAGCAACAGCACCGGGTGGAGAGGAACTTCTTGGTGCGGACCACGGCGTTCCAGTTGAACTGTCTGTTGGCCTCCAGCCACCGGTCGATGTACTCTGACACAACACAAACATTGTCTTTGGTCCTTCTCTGTGTTGGTATATTATGAGTTATCTAGAAACACGGAACAAGCCTAATATAGGTAGGCTCTTCTCCGTGCTGCATGACTTTGCATTTTTAACCCTATCCGTACGCCATGGGGTCATTTTGTACCACCGGGGTTGTATTCTTCACATTTTAGAATACTTCTAGTTCGAAGATCTCTTTGAAACTTTCAGTATTTCTGAAAAAAAAAATCATTTTGACAGACTTCTATGCCAAGCGTACGGATTGGATTAACGAGTAAATTTCCTTTTTGAAAGTGGTGGCACAGAGTTCCCCACGTCGTATGGATACGATAGTAAAACACGACGTACGGATAAGGTTAAATTGTCCTGTCAGGTGTGTGTATGGGGGGGGGGGGCACAAATATTTTGTACAGGTTTGAAATGGCACAAAATTAAAGAAGGTGGAAAAAAGACGGTCACCTATTAAATGAGGCACTCCCAACCCCATTTACCATAATATGTATGTATATATACAAATGTATATACAAGTATACATATATATCACGCCTACAATTATATAAAGTAATAATAATGGTGTTGCAGTGAACTGTCTGTTGGCCTTCTGCGACTGGTCTGACACAACACAAACATTTTTCTATTGCCCTTTTCAGAACAGTCATGACTGTCTAAGACGGCCACTCATGGTCGAATATAAAAACGATTGTCTCAGCCAGGTGGAAATCTTACACAGTCAGTGTCATTATACTGTTTGACAAAAAAAAAGTGGGGGGGGGCCAATTGTATACATCTGTCCCTGCGGTTTTATGCAAAGAAAATTCTGAAATTATGCAAACTGATCCCAAAAATGTGATATTATGCGATTCTGTTAGGTTTAACAAAGAATGATAAAGGAAAATAATCAGAAATTATACAAAAAGTGATCAAATTTTGCTTAATGCATAAAACCCCGGGTACAGATAGGTGGCCCTTACAGCTGGTTAAGCTGTATTTGTATATAGTGCAATGTATTATATAACATCTCTCTTGTGTATTACACCAGTGAAAAGGATGCACCTCCTTTTAGCGAGCAGGTGGACGACTGTCTATCTCTCTACCCCACCCCCTACTCCAAAAGCCTGATCAACTGCCCATTCGAAAGAAAAATAGGGGGGG